AGGGGGAAGACAAGGCTGTTAGTGTTAAGTTCAAATATTATTTTTTAATACAAATTATGTTATGTCAGTGACGTTCCTATCCCACCCCATGTGGTTACACGTGACCCGCGTCTTGCACCATTACATCCGACAAGAGTGTTGTCCTGGAGACTGAATGGCTTATGGAAACTGGGCAAACGAAAGCTAAAAAAAACAAAACAACTAAGACACACAGGCGAGGGGGTCACATACTTGACCAAGTGATCAGACCCAAAATATAGTGAAACATCTGTCTGTTTTGGACCCCAAAAAAATTCTGACTATCATCTTATCGTCGTCGATTTAAATGTTTCAAAAATCCCGATAACCATCCGCTCTAGGCACATGGAACCCGCGGACATTCCATTAGTGAAAGAAGACACCCAGATTCCCCACGCTTTTTGGACTATCATTAAAGCCAACGCCATCTTGACGGACTCACTGGAAACTCACGCACTTCACACTGCACACGTACCGTCACCCAGAGACGAATTACTGAAAAACTGAGAACAATACTGTGCCCAAGTCAGGTTTTGCTGAACGGAGATAAAATAACAAAAAAGCATGGACTTAAGTCTATGTTTATTGTTTTGGGATTACCTGCAGTTTTCCCCTTTTTCTCGCTACACCGTTAATGGTAGGGTGTCGTATGCACTGTGAATAGATGCGGGAAGCCTTTCTATCTTACTTTTTCCAGCACTAAATGACCATTATTGATTGTGTCGAGGTGTTTCTCTTTACTCAAACAAACAAATGATAGGCAAAGAGAAAAAGGTGAGAGAGGGTGTTCAAGCCCAAAGGGACATGTTTTTGTTTTGTTTTGTTGTTTTGTTTTAAGCTTCTATTAGAACAAAACGAACCATAATTATATACCGTACCGCGTTGCCAAAGTTCTGTCATACCCACCTTCAGAGTAGACCTACAATAACTCTTTTACTGTTCAACATACGCGTAGCTGAGCAAAAATGTGTACACGTGTTCTTCTTTCATCTTCTGCCAACATGATGTAAAGAGAATTGGCTAGTAAAACTTCCCATATTCATAGAAGATACTGTTTATTCAAACTGACCCTTGACAAATCCAAATCAAAGTTTGCTCAGTGTAGAGTGTGGTCTCTTCCGGCTTGATTTACTTCTACAAAACGTCTTTTCATTGACTGAATTAATATCCTTATGGTTGCCTGAGGAATCCCTTGCCATTCTTTGTGCTGTGAAGTGCAGCCTTCAGTTCCAGGCGAGTTTGCACAAGTGTGGCCTGTTTTTAACCCTCCAGCCAAGGTCTTATTTTAGATGTTCTGCGTACGGTTAAGGCTTGTTGATCTAGCAGGCCAGTCTAGAACATTGATTTGATGAGTTTGGAAAAAGTTTTAACTGATCATGGCCGCATGAGGTTGAGTGCTGTCCTTTTGGCACATTCCATCATCCGTACAAGTAGGGCTGGACATTGTGACGAAGAATTTCATTACAGTGCAGTCGCTCTCTGAAGTTGCTTTGAATAGTGACCAAATTATGTGTACGATGAAGAGCAGGGATTCCATCCCAAACATTCACACTTCAGCCACCAAATCGGTCCGTTTGGTGGACAATGGCTTTGGGAAATCTCTATCCTCTTCTTCTTTACGCTTTTTCTCTTCCACCAATGCGACAAATTAAAAACCTGGACCTTTGCTTAATAGAACACTCTAGATCTACCAACCTCTCTGGTTCCATCACCAATGTTGGTGAGCCCAAATTCGGCAATTTCTTCGATGAAACGGAGTTAAAATAGGTCCTAACGGAAGGCGATAATCACGCAATCCATGGCCACATAAATGTCTGACAATGTTGTTTTAAGACAGTCCGAAGTACCTGGCATTCTCTGCACTTGGTAAGAACGGATTTCGAACATGGGTGTTGGCAATAATCTAATTCAGGCACCCTCGGTAAGCCATGTCTAGACCTGTCTTGGACATTTCCAAGTGGTGTTAAAATGCTTATATAAGCGTTAGATGGTTCTTCTGCACACATTTTCATTTGTACTTGTTCTGCAACCGTAGAAAGCGCGATCCAGAATTCATCATACGCTCAGCGCATTCACGTTCTGCATTTGTCAGTTTTGTTATTTTGAAAAGAGGTGAACAAATACCTCAACGGTGAAAAAGCACAGATTTTTATCATGCATAATGTGTGTTTACATAATGTCTGTGTGATTCAAAGCAAATTTTGATTTGCAGGATGTGCATATGGGCGAAAACATAGAGAACGCCGAAACTTAAGCGGCTGAAGATTAACGCAGACAGGCGCCAGTGGGTGTCTACTTGATTTCACACAGAGGGGGCCTAAGGCCTAGACCGAGATCTAAGATTTTTTTTTTAATTACACAACACAGCTGGTATTTACGAAGCATTTATTGGTGGGGGGGGGCACGAATTTCTAAATGTAATTCTGCTCGATTGCCACCCTAATTTGACGACGCTGCTTTAAAAAATGTAGTTAGTTTTGTGTACGTGAAGCACCAGCTCTGAAATGAAAATGCTAAAGCCGCCTGCAGTCTGACTGCCAGCTCTATTATAATTGTGGGGCAATAAGTTGGAAATCATAAGGGAATTTGTATACCTTTCGGCGCTTTCTGAGCCAGTCTCTAAAAACGGCGTTCTCTATGCTTTCGCCCTATCGTGAGAAAACAATACATGTACAAACACTTGACCACGTGACCTACAACTTCCAGTTTATGATTTCATTGGTCTCCGCATGCACCAAGAGTCTCAAAAGTCACACAAGTCATGAATTTTCAGTTTTAGTACAATTCGAAACGTTATAGTGCTGTCAAAAATTCGTGACGCAACTTATTGTCAAATATCTCAACTATCGAACATAAACTCTCCAGCTTTTGCACTATGACTTGTATCAATTTGTCTTAAGAGATCAATATTTTTGTACAAAACCTGTAGGCTCTATTCTAGAAAATTCCTTAATAAGTACAAATAAAAAATCCTAGTTGGTGGTTTCAACTGATTTTAAAAGGTTTACAGCAGGGATATCGCTTTTAAAAAGCAAGTCCGTCATTTTTTCTAATCGCGAGATTATCTTTATTGAACGCATGGAACTTTTACTTTTAGTGCAAAAAAGTGTTCATTATAAAATCAGTTTCTTGTAACTAGTTTTTCAACTAAAAAGTGTCATCAGAGAGTATTTAATTAGTGTCTCTGGTGTCATTGATGAACTCTGACGTAACCCATATGCGTATACAAAATGAGTGTGCGAAGCGGGAAGTGCTGTTAACAATTTCTATTTTCCGCGTGAACGAGGTTTGCAGTATTTTTTATAAATTAATTAAGAAAACTTTATTAGTCTAGCCTCAATTGTTGAGGAAAAATATGATTAAATCAAGACAAATTGAGACAAACTGCTGTGCAAAGTATGGTTGACATTGATTCACCCGTTAAAAAGATATTTGAGGATAAGTTGCGCCACGAATTTTTGACCGCACTATAGTGAAAATTTCCGTAGTACAATAATAGTATATTATGATATAAGTACAAGTGTGACAGAACTTTTGCAACTCAGTATAATTAAAGACACCAAACCAAATTATTTTCTTGCTACCCCCCCCCCCCCAATAATAAATAAATGAATAAATAAATAAATGAATAAATAAATAAATAAATAAATAAATAAATAAATAAATACATAAATAAATAAATAAATAAATAAATAAATAAATAAATAAATGGACGAATATATAAATAAAATAATACAAAATACAAATGCAAAATATAAATATATATTTAGAAACTAAAACAAACCCTCAACAAAATAGGGTTGTTGGGTTTTTTTTACTCTATCCGTAGGCCCTATGGTCATTTTGTACCCCCGGGATTGTATTTCACAGTTTAGAATACATGATCTTCTAGTGTGAGATCTCTTTGAAATTAAACTTTCAGACTGCTGTGCAAAGCGTACGGATCGGATTAACGAGTAAATTTCACTTTGGAAAGTGGTGGCTACAGAGTTTCCCTCGTCATATGGATATGACAGAAAAACACGACGTACAGATAGGGTTAAACACGAGAAACGTCGTAAAACAGGCTCCTTTGCTTAGGAAGAAAATAATAATCCTGAAGATTTGTGAATACCGTACCTAGATGAGCAATATCACCTTCAGTTGTCTTTGAAATGTTCAGCGGAACTCCCAGGAACTGTTTCTCGAGAGCCAAACGCACTTTCAAATATCTCTCTCTCTCTCTCTCTCTCTCTCTCTCTCTCTCTCTCTCTCTCTCTCTCTCTCTCTCTCTCTCTCTCTCTCTCTCTCTCGCTCTCTCGCTCTCTTGTGTGTGTGTGCGCGTGTGTTTGTGTGTTTGTGTGTGAGGGGGGGGGGGGGCAGTGCGCGTGTGTGTATCTCTCTCTCCCCACCTTCTCTCTCTCTCTTTTTTTTTTTTTTATCTTTGGGAATGGCTCTCTCTCTCTCTCGCCTCTATGTGTGTGTGTGTGTGTGTTTGTGAGGAAGAGAAAAGAGAGACACGATGACAGAGAGAGAGAGAGAGAGAGAGAGAGAGAGAGAGAGAGAGAGAGAGAGGGGGGGGGGGAGAGAGAGAGAGAGAGAGAGAGAGAGAGAGAGAGGGGGGGGGAGATGTTGGTTTTTTGTGCTTATGCCTCGATGTCTATTATTTTTATTAATGTAATAGGAGATGTTTAATATGAATCTTCTTTTCAGCTGGAGCAGTTGATGAACATGATAAATATTGTATTTAATTTAGTATGCATGAGTATGAGACCTTAAACGGGAGAGATACACTCTAAAGGAAAAAAACATGTCCACGTATGCCTACATCACCAAGACCAAAATTATCCACCTGATAACATTTTGGAGCAATAATTATTAAATTATTACCCCCCAGAGACCTTGCAAGCAATCGTTAATTCTCTTGCTGTTGGTGTTAGGCTTCGCTACTACTTTGTTTTGTTGTTCATGTTTTTCATGTAAACGAAACGAAACATTAATTTTCTCACGCCGGTGTCTTTATTTTTGTTTTTATCACAGAAGAGTCACTCAGACTTACACACTGCTTACACTGTGCATTGTATTGTTTGTGTGTCTTTCTGAATCTGATCAGCGCTTTATTTTACTTTAGTTTACCCTTCGTAGCTTTCCGAAGAATTGAAAACTAAACGTTATAGAATTGCTTGGTAAAGGTAGCTATGGATGCACTGCCTACTCAAGATATTGTTGATGGAGAATTCAACAGCGAGGAAGATGAACCATCTCAAGATGCGTGGGGTCGTCTCTTCCCTCTCGGCTCTAGTTTTGTCGCCATGGGCAAGTTTTAGTTCCTTTAGTTACCGTACAACTTAGATTCTAGATAGATCGAAAATCTAAATCTAGATCTAGATTCTAGATCTAGATTCTTAGATCTAAATCTTGTAGATCTACTGGTGTAGATTAGGCCTTTGTTGATGTCCTGGGCTGAATCCAGACTCAAATTTTGAGATGGAAGAAGAGGCTAGCCATACTAAGTCAGTACGGCTAGATCTAGACTGATTGGCTAGTTAGTATGACTAGACAGCTGGGCTAGCCGTACTTATTCTGGTAAATTTTTACTTTCACTCCGGTTCACAGATGCACTGCTTCAGGGGTCCAACTGTTGTACAGTACAGTGTACTGTTTGCTGCAGATCAAATAAAGCCACTAAAACTGTCGCAAATCAATTATTTTCAAGAAAATTTCAAATTTAACTGTAAAATATCAAATTATGGGTTAAAACAGGGGGGCAGTGTCTACGTACATGGTAACCGGGCACGTACGCTAGCCTCAGTGTCTACGTACGTGGTAACCAGCAACCGGGGGCGTAGTGACGGTAGTCTCAATGTCACACACACGGTAACCGGGCACGTAGCCTCAATATCTATGTACACGGTAACCAGCAACTGGGCGTCTCTCATTATCTACGTACACGGTAACCGGGTATTTAGTTTCGTGTGTGGGTTGGGGGGGGGGGGGGGGCTTGAGCAAGGTGCACGGTAACTGCTTTGCTCCCTTCATAACCTTGACCTTTTTCCTTTTCACCGTGTAGTCTCAATGTCACACACACGGTAACCGGGCACATAGCTTCAATATCTATGTACACGGTAACCAGCAACTGGGCGTGTAGTCTCAATGTCACATACATGGTAACCGGGCGCATAGCCTCAATATCCAGGTACACGGTAACCGGGCACATAGCCTCAATATCTACGTACACGGTAACAGGTAACCGGGCACCTCTCATTATCTACGCACACGGTAACCGGGTATTTTGTTTCGGGGGGGAGGGGGGGGACCTTGAGCTAGGTGCACGGTAACTGCTTCACTCCCTTCATGACCGTGACCTTTTTCCTTTTTCACTCCCCTTTTTGTGTGTTGTGAGCGGAATGTAATCCCAAAAATGATCCCAATCTACCCCCTGTCATCTTCCCTAAGGGAGAGAAAAATGCAGTGACACTGAAAATCTGCGAATCTGGAACAGAAAGCTAAAATATAGATGTTTACAAAACATTTAAAACTATCACGAGAGAGAGAGAATGAGACTCAGAAAACAGAGAGAGGGAGAAGGAGAGAGAGAGCAGAAAGAGAGACACTCTGTTATGAAATTTAGTGGGTATCATGCAGGACACTATAGAGCGGTTGACCCTCCCTAGTCTGGACGCTCTGTTATGAAATTTAGTGGGTATCATGCTGGACTATAGAGCGGTTGACCCTAGTGTGCCCTCTTCAAAAGAGCGCGAACTTTGCGAACAGTTTCCCTACTTACAAGTGTGAAAAACAAAAAAAGTGACTCTCTCTTTGGCTGAGTGAACTATCTCTTGGACCTTCCAGTTACCGTATACGTAGATACTGAGACTACGTGCCCGGTTACCGAGTCTCTTATAACGAGTCCTGAAATAACGAAAAGTCGGTTTATAAAAACACTATTCGAAAACCCCGGTTTTTTTCCCTTCTTTATCTTTGTAAATAAAAAGTTTTGGGTATGTCTCAAAGTCTTCCAAAACAAAACCAAAGCCTGTGTATACTAATTTGAAAATATAATTAAGTTTTATTTGCTCCCACAGATTTGGTAAATGATACCTACTCATTTGGCAGGGGAGAGACCTGTGATGTTCCTTTCAGCAGCCAGGCAGCCAAGAATCACCAGTGTTTTCAGGCTTACAGTAAAGTCCATTTCAAGCTTGTCAGGGTAAGACTAAGATGCCTGATGTGAGGAACTGCAGAGTATAATCTTGTGCCTTTTACTGGTTACACTACACACACACATATATCTATATACATGAAAATTGTCATTATATTTTGCAGCATGCTTTTTAAGAATAGACGAAAATGTATGGGGTTTTTTGGTGTGTGTTTTTTTCAAATTCTATTTTTGTTACTAAATAGTGTTTGCCTGATCATTTTCTGCAATGATACTTTTTTCTTGAACTATATAAAATATATATATATCGCAAGCCACGTGATTCAACCACATTTTTCAGGAGAAGCAAAAAACTTATATTATATTTCTTTATGCTCGTACCTAGGAATCTGAAATTTAGATATATGATATAATATGATATGGGACGATGGTCTGTAACTAACTTTAAAAAGAAAAAGCTTTCTTACATAAGTTACTGGACTTGGGTGGTTTAGACACCTACCAAAATCTCTGTGATTCAACCGCATAAGTGACAGTATGATGGCGTCAAGGCGTTTGAATCACATTAATCAACGCCACTCGACAAGCGCCAATGGTCGCATGGGCGTTTGAGTTATTGACGAAAGCAAATCATAATAAAGTTAAGATTAAGAGTGATTATTTCAGTTATTTGGTTGGGTCTTCTTGGGCAGGACTGTTTTTGTCCCCATGGAGTTGGTAAAAAGGATCATTCATCTTAGAGTTCAGTTTGTACTGGATATTTGTGTTCAGTGTGTATGAAAGGCAACGAACGTTTGTGACAAAGGGTTTGTTTTTGCTTCAGCCAGGTCTGAATGGTCCAGAAATCTGACATTAAAAGGTTGGAGGGGGGGGGGGATATTGTCTTGTTTTCTCAAAAACGTTCAAGATTATCCTTGAGCACACAACTGTGCTGTCAACTTCCATTTGCGTTTGTTCCTTTTCCAGGTATTTGTGTTTAACAATTTTGCTCTATCTGGTACGAATGTCACTAATTGCATTTGGCAAGATAGCGTTGTGGTCTGATAAGTACAGCCATCTCTGTATATAATGAACATGGCAAATTGTCAGTAGCTCCTCGAAGAAGTTACTGAGACAAGAAGAGCTTTCATTGGCAATCAGTGATCCTTCTCCTTGGTGCCAAACGTGACACTTCACATCTTCGGTTACCAAATTTAAAAAAATATATATAGCTAATTTGGTTCTGTTATGTTAAAGTGCTGCAGATGTGTTCAAAGCCGTACTAACAATAAATCCGCTTCCAAGTCGATGCACACTAGACACAATCTTTTCCCATCCACTGGGTTTTGTGCAAGCTTCATGATAGATTCTTTATCCTACCTTGCATACATCACATTGATCCTTCCGACACATACAACAACAGGTTGCTCTTTTCGTATATCAAAAGTCGTCTAGGACACAAGTTGTGCCTTAGCTGTCAATCATAGACTTTATATTCATTCGCCAGTAGCTTTTGCCACAATTCACCGACTTTGACGAGTCAGTATTAACATATTCTTTGATTCCATCTTGCCCTTTCTCAACTACACTACCAAACCTAGTGATGGATAGCGCAAACTGCCTTGACAAAATCTTCTGGCTATCAATAGGGTTCAATCTGAGTTGAAGTTAGCAAAGGTTTATTTGATGTTACCTTCCAGTCTGTTTTGAGAAAGGCCACAGTCATGTGGGTCACGCCACCTACGCGACAGGTGAACTCCTTAACTAGCCGCTGAATCTGCCTGATTTAAATGCCCATTTGCCACCTGGCTGCGAAAGTGGCATTTGGGCGGTTGAATCAGGTGGAAATTGGGGACTGGTGTGATAAAGGCGATTGATTTGCTGACGAATTGAAACACTTGGCAGTAATCTTTCAAACTCAGGATTTTAACATAAGGTGTATCAAAGGCTGTACTACATGTACATAACGGGATAAAAAAGTGATTTTCAAAAAGTGACAGGCGGTTGAATCACGTGGCTGACGATATGTCTATATAATATATATATTATATATATATAGCTTTGCTGTTTTAAATTGCTGGAACTGAAGGGTCCTCTTGGACTGATAGGATAAACAACTTATTGAAATTTGGAAGGCCAACTGATTTTCTTTTCTTTCAAATATTATTAAAACTATAATATCAATATTAAAGTCTTCGACCTGATGATTTTTTCATTGCCTCTCAAATAATCCACAGAAAAATACAAGCACAGGAGAGCATGTGTTTTTGGAAGACACCAGCAGCAATGGTACATTTATCAATGGTGAAAAAGTTGGTAAGTACATTTCTGATAATGAAAAACAGGGTGGAGGAGAAAAAATTAAAGGGGGGGGGGGGAGTTTTGCGCATTTAGAAAGGATTTGTGAGTAGATGTGTTTGTTGTTTGTTGGAAGTAGTTAATGTGGGTAAAAGTATGGTAATATTGATAACAATAGCATTTATGTTGCGCATAAAAATTTTCTTTTAAAAATGCACAATGATGTCACATTTGAAAATTACTTGACAAATATATACATGATAGAACATAATGTATAAATTATTGTAGATGTAATCATTTTCACGATAAAAATTTGTCCAGCATGACTTTTCCTGATGCTGTATAAAGGTTGAGGTAATTTTTGTACTTGTGGTTGTGACAATAGTACAGTGGAAACCATATGTAACAGGCCCGGTAATAACAGGGATCTGGTAATAACAGGGATTTTTTAAATCCCCGTTTTTTCCTTCTCTTTCTCTCCATTAAAAGTTATCGGCAATAACAGGGCCTCATCGGAGCCCAACAGGTTATAGCAGGGACAAAGGCTTGTTAACAATGTGTAAAAAGTATGAGAGAGAGAGAGAGTAACGAAGTGGTGGAGCAAGACCACGCAAGCCGTGCCACTGCAAGCACACGCAGCGTGTGAAGCGAGAGAGGGCTGCGGTGTGCTGCAGTGCCGACCTCAATCTAACCCGAAATCTAGCAACAAGCACGCGTAATGTGTCACCAACGATGTCAAGCGCAAGAGAAAATGCCTTTCTATTGACAAAAAGTACTAAATAATCCAGGCTGTTGACAAAAAGCAAGCTTCACTTGCAGAGATTCGTTGTCTGTTTGACATTCCTCAAGGGTCGATTCACATCATTATCAAGGATAGAGAGAAGATAGTGTCAGCGTACTCCAATGGAAAGTTTGCTCTGGATCAAAAGAAGATGAGACTACCCGATGCTGATGCTGTGGACCAAGCTCTTCTGATGTGGTTTACTTTAAGGAGGCAAGGAGAAAGTGGGTGCCACAAGGTACTTGTGGCAAGGGAAACTACCCATGAATAAGTACAGCTGGATTAGTCCACAAATGCTTAACTTCCTTGCATTTCTGATTTAACAGGGATCGGATATAACAGTACATTTTCTCTACTCCCACCATCCCTGTTGTATCAGGTTTCCACTGTATTTTCATGAGATGGTGTCTGATTTTTAAAACAGGTTTTAAAGATGTAATTTCTGGTAATAAAAAGTATGGGATCTCTTGTGAATATTTCTACTCTACTGTTCAAGCACCAGTCAAGTAAGTGTAATATAAATATGGCAAAATGGAGAGTGCGTAGTCCAATATCTGGAAAATGCCTCAATTTGCTTTGTTGGGAGAATTCAGCTTTGGGAAAATTTAAAAGAAAGAATGTTACTGTTTGATTGTTGTTTTGTTTATCATTTAACGCTTTGCAGTCAGACGGTCAGCGGTACAAAATACCCCATCTGGTCACCCAGCCAGGAGAGCGAATGCAATGGGCTTCTTGGGCTTGGCGCACTTCTGCGCCAGGTAACGAGAATGGACAATTTTTATTGCGCCAAGTGACTGAAAAGTGTTAATAGGAGATTGGGAAGGATAACTGTTTGCTTTTCTCTTGTTTGCAGGAAAGGGAAAGAAGCAGGTTCTTAACAACAACGATGAAATTGCCCTGGCCTTGAAGAAAAATAAAGGTACTTTTCTGTCTTGTTTTGTTAAAGGTCTCTGTTTTGTTCAGCATACTTTCATGAAGTCCTGTCTCGTGTTTTGCATAGATTCTGTTTGTTTAGTGTTTAGATTCTGTCTGTTGTGTCAGCAGTATGTCATGCTTAATGTTTTTTTCTCTGGTTTACAACTGATATGAGTTTAGTGCTCCGCAAGCAACTCTGTTTTTATTTTTCCTGTTTTCTTTTATTTTCATCTGGTTCCTTTGCAACATGCTTCCCCATGATAAGCATTAATTGTTTTATATTTCATTATGCTGAAGTTTTTATCTTTTAACCAGTCTTTAGTTTGCTAGTGGTTGGAAGATGCCTTGTAGATCTCATCTCTTTTCTTTCCCAATGTTATAATTTTTGTCAATCTGTCTTACTTTCCCTGAGTAGTAAATTACTGTTATTGTGTCATGCTTCTCTGTATTCAAACAGTGGGTGGTTGGCACGTGCTCTGGTGCAGTTTTCTCCTTCTTTCCTATCAAATATTTATCGCTCGTATCTCACTTCCTACTTTTTTGTGTTTGTCACTCTCTTGTACCATCTCTTATCTTCAGCACTTATATGACCTAATATTGTGTTGCAAGTGCCGTAAATCTGTTACAATAAATATTTTTAAAAATTTACAATAATCGAACAATAAGAGCTAAGTGTGACAGTGTTGGTCTCATTCTCAGTAGGTGGTTGGCGGGTGCTCTGGTGGGATATGCTCCTTCTTTCCTATCAAACATCTACCATTCTTATCTCTCCTCTTTCTATTCTTTCTTTTGCTCTCGAGTAATACCTCTAATTTTCGGTACGTATTTGACCTGTTTTTGTTGCGAATGCAGTTAAACTCTTTCCCAAAATACTTTTATCAGAAAGGTCTCATTCTATTATTGTTCCTTAGCTTACGTGTTCATGGACTTGAACGCTAACGAGGACTCAAGCCTGCCACCTGAGCTCACAGAGAAGTACACGCTGACTCGTGTGTTGGGCAGGTAGGTGAACCACACAGAAAACACACGCCCCTGTAGGTAGTCTAGCTTGGAAACTTTAAGTGGGTGGTTGGCGGGTGTTCTGGTGTAGTTTGCTTGCTCTTCTGTCCTGTCAAACATCTGTCTACCTTTCCTCTCGCCTTTTTTTCTCTGCATGTTACTTTCTAGGAACACGCTTCTTACCTTTGCACGCATGTGGCCTATTTGTGTTGCAAGTGCTGTAAAACTCTTATTACTATAACTAAACTAAGAGTCCTTAAACTGAGCTGATGGTGTAGCTCGTGATTTTTTGTGGTTGTATTTTTTTTGTATGTGCGTGTGTGGTATATTTTGTTATTTAACCGAAATTTGTGGAATAAATTATTAGGGTTAGGTTTGCCACCTTCTCGTGTGTTTGATATCCAAGTGTGGAAGCTTTTTTCATGGAGTATCTTCGCCTATTTCTGGGACACTGCATCTCTCTAAGCCAGGGCTGACCCTGACAGTGTTGAAGCAGCCCACACCTTGAGTGATCTAATTTGTGTCAATGGGGCTTAAAACATTTGCAAGTAAATTTCATATATTATTTGTATCTTCTTGGACTTTTGTAAATACAGTCAGACCTGCTCTAACGGCCTACCGTTTAAGACAGTCACCTGTACAAACGGCCACTTCCTATTTTCTACCTTGCTTTTTTTATTTGCACAGTAATGACACCATGTAAAACGTCCACCTGTCTAATGCAGTCACTTTTCTCCTCCACTATGGGTGGCCGTCTTACCCAGTTTCGACTGTAGCTGCTAATGATATTTTCTTGCTTTTGTCTGTTGTGAACAGAGGGGCCTGTGGGGAAGTGAGGCTAGCTTTCTCCAAGGGCTCATGTGACAAATTTGCCTGCAAGATTATCTCAAAGAAAAAATTTTCCGTCGGTGGGAAAACGGCAGTGGTATGTTGCTAGCTTTATTTGGCATTGGTTGTTCGCTCTTTGGTCATATTTCGTTTAAAATGTCTCAAAAAATGAGTCATATTATACTGTTATGAATGTTTTAAGTTTCATGAGAAAACTTTTTCCCCCCCCACAGAATTTGAATTTCTGTTTTTCCTTTAATCATTATCTCTCGTTGATAAGATAATTTGTGCTTTTCTTGGGGAATTGATAAAAATGTTTTGAGAAATGTTCGAAGTAACAAAATCTAATGTACTTATTTAACGAATTCGATAAACTTGTTTTTCATTTAAATGTTTTGGCCTATTAATAATAAATCTTTGATTGTTTGCAGTTTGTCGTGCTCTTATTCAACCTTATTTGTTGTTTGTGAATTCTCATCTATTGATTTTGGTTTTCTATTGTACATCTTTCCTTTAAGAGTAATTTATTATAGAATTTACCATCAATGTGTAGATTTGCTTGTCTTTTCTGCTATTTAAAAAAACCCCCAAAAAACAACTTCTTTTGGAAAGCAAAAAAGAATTTAACCTTTAGTTTTTAAAATTTTGCTGTGTTTATTATTTCGACAGAACATGGCATCCCAAGTCATGGGTGAAGTGAAAATTCTGAAAGCGTTAAAACATGTAAGTTTTCTCATGCAGGGAACTGGTCATGTGCTGTTATGTATTGCCAATGTGGAGTTGTTGCCTTGGTGTGGATTTTTTCCAATCAAAACTTTGTATTCAGGGAAGATTATTGATAGGTTAAAGCAATGAGTTTATAGTTATTGGCCCTTACGTTTTTGTACATAAATATTGTTGTGGTATCTGATTTGGTACTGTTGTTCCGGTTGAGTTTTCAATAAATTTTTTCCCCATTACACAGTGCCATGTCTAAGGCGGTTGTTGAAAGGTGCCATCTCTTGTTGATATCGGTTATTTTCATGAATTCTAGTGTTTCTTTCCACCGCCTTGATTTTTTTCTGTTCTGCTCTGCTCTCTCTCTCTTTTTTCCTTTTTAATTATAACTGCGGCATTGTGTTTCTCTGTAACTTAAAAAGTCTTCGCGGTACAGGGCCACTGAAGGTAGGATTTGAGATTTTAACCTCACTTGCACTTCTCATTTCCCATATTGTGAACAAGTAGTTGGAAGGCACCACTGGTAGGTTCTACTTCTTTCATTTCTCTCCATTGTGTCTGTCTGTCTGTCTGTCTGTCCCACTTTTTTTTCCAGCGCTAAATGAAAGTTATGTGTCAGTATGCTTCTCTTTGCTCTGCTCAAAGTCAAACAAATTATAATGTATTGGGTTTTTGGGGGATTTTTTTTCCTTTCCTTTTCCCAGTTATATTTGTTTTTCTCCTATTCCAGCCGTGTATCATTGGAATAGAGGATGTGATTGACACACCAGACATGCTGTACATTTTCTTGGAACTGTGAGTGCATTGAAAAAAATATTTTTACTGTTGCAGTGGATTGGATGGTTGAAGGACATTACTGGCAGGTCCTACTTCTTTCCTTTTTCTCAGTTGTTTCTGTCTGTCCTTTTTTTCCCCTGTAGTAAATGACCTGAACTATGTGGATAATCTCTTCTTTAATCAGAGGGTGGTTAGCGGGTGCTCTGATGTGGTTTGCTCCTTTTCTCCTATTACACATCTACCGTCCTCATCTCTCCTCCTTATTTGTGTGTGTTACTCTCACTTAACACCTCAAACCTTCAGCACTTACATGACCGTATTGTGTTGCAAGTGGGTGGTTGGTGGGTGCTCTGGTGTGGTCTGCTCCTTTTTTCCTATCAAACATCTATCGTCCTTATCTCTCCTCCTCTTTTTTTGTGTTTGTTACTCTCTTGTAACACCTCTAATCTTTGGCGCTTATATGACTTTATTGTGTTGCAAGTGCCATAAAACTCTAAAACATTGTGTTTCAAGTGCTATAAAACTTTTGCTGAAACTAAATCTAAACTGAATGATTGTTATTGTGTGGATGTGCTTTTCTTTATTTAAACAAACAAAGAGGAAACTGTTGTTAGAGATTTGTAGCTGTAATGTTTTACAACCGCCCAACAACACAGTTTAGATCTTTTAGGGTGGGTGTCTGGTTGGCGGGTGCTCTACTGTGGTTTGCTCTTTCTTTCCTATCAAACATCCGTCTTCCTTATCTCTCCTCCTTCATTCATGTTCTCCTAACATCTCGAAATCTTTGGCATTCATATGGCCTTATTGTGTTGCAAGTGCAGTAAAATCTTAGTAAAAGTGAAAATCATTTAGGTGATGTACTGTTTCAACCCTGCCTGTCCAGGCTGAGTGGGACACAACATCCCAGCACAGAGACTGAGATACTGGTTGATCTTACTTTTTTTTTTTAATGTCTGTCCGTCTGTCTTGCTTTTTCCCCGGCACTAAATGACCATTAATGTATGGATGTGATTCTCTTTCCTCAAACGAACCAAACAGGGTGGAAGGTGGTGAGCTGTTTGACAAGGTGGTCTCAATAGACAAGTACGATGAGAGCACGGGGAAGATGCTCTTCTTCCAGATGGCTACAGCTATAAAGGTTAGCTCTCTCTCATTGTGTTCATCTCTCTCTATCTCTCTGTGTCTCTTTGTCTGTCTGCCTATCTCTTTTTCTTTTTTTTCTTTTTCTGTCTGTCTGTTTCTATCTCGCTGTGTGTCCACCCCCCTCCCCCCTTCCCCCCACTTTTACTTTCTCTCTCTCTCTCTCTCTCTCTCTCTCTCTCTCTCTCGCTCTCGCTCTCTCCCCCCTCTCTCTCTCTCACTCTCTCTCACTCTCTCTCTCTCTCCCCCTCCCCTCTCTCTCTCTCTCTCTCTCTCTCTCTCTCTCTCTCTCTCTCTCTCTCTCTCTCTCTCTCTCTCTCTCTCTCTCTCCCTATCTCCCTCTTTCTCCCCCTCCCTCTCTCTATAGTGTCTGATTATGAAGAAAGTTAAAAGAGGAAGACTGAAAATAGGAAGCATAAACACGGCCTCATTGCCTTTTGAGCATGTGGTTTCGGTGAAATTGGGGTAATTCAGATAACTGTTTCTTTGCTCTCTGGCTATAAAACACCAAATGCTTTACACCATGGAAAAGTTCAACTTTTCCTCGTTGTAGTGGTGTAAGTTGTTTATTGATCCGGTAATTAGGAGCTGGAGAATCACCGCGGAAAGCGAAGCCCCTCGTGGTTGGAATGCATGGTCGGCCAGCTTAAAAATTTACATGCGGACTCTCAAATGTTTTGCGGAAAGATTGATGATTAAATACCGTCTTTTCATTGGTGGATAACTGTAGAGCTTTGAAAGGGCTTTCCTGTGGTAAAATTTGGGCCTTTGGCGTTTAAATAGAAAGCCTTTAAAAATACAGTCAAAGTTTTCAAAGATTATTTTTTTTTACACGAAATATGTATAATTCCGGCTCAAAAAAGGTACCAACAGAAAGATCAGTTAATTTTCTATTAGAATAAAGTAATCGGCTTGGATTTTTTTTTCATCGTGCCTTCTGCGAAACACGGAAAGCATGTGACCCCGAGCCCTCAGTACAGAGCTGACTTGCTCGTCACGGGGACCAGTGCGGAGCCGGACAGGACAACGCTCGATGTTTTTATCGAAATAACGACAGATCATCTTGTTTGAGGCAAAGAAATCACTGTTTTGTAATGATCTCACAGTCTTGAAAAAAAATTAGGCTCCAATATCTATGTTATAGTGATGGCACTCTGTTAATGTATAGATGTTTGGTGCTGTTGGTACTCTTTTATTGTCTGTCTAACATGGAGTTGCAGCTAGTTAGCGGCTTTTGCAATATTTAAACAGCTGCCATTTTCTTTATAATTGACTGAGAGGTAAAAGAATGGTACTAGAATTCTCAGGAGACATAGACCTTTCTTATGGAACTGATAAACTCGGCATACAGCTACTTGAAAATTAAGTTTCTGGTACCTGAAAACAATAAAAGTGGCCTCTGAGATTTCTTCGCACGTTATCTTACATGGTACCTGCATATTTTGAATATCACAGATTAGACAACTGTAAAAGTTTAGTGTATGAATTTAAAATTGGGACACCTTTGCAGGGCTGCCTACCTAAAAGTTTCCTTTTCAAGTAAATTCAGGGTAAATTTTCAGGTATTAAGGCCCCAAGTCAGGTAGTACAAAGACGAAGGTATAAAAAAAAAATGAACATCACCTCGGTAAACGTATTTGGTAATTATGTTATTAAAACGTGTGTGCGCGTGCGTGCGTGCATGTGTGTGTTTAGGGGGAGAGGGGGGGGAGGAGTGTTTGGGCGTGCTTAAGCAGGGTTCGCCACTCACCACCATATTGTGTTTTAGTAATCAGCAAATTAAAAACAGTTATCTGGCTGAAAAATTCGTAATATGACTGTAGACAGCCTTTTGCTATGGAGTGTCAAGATTAAAAGGAAAGCAGGTTTGTAGATAAAAGGATGGGTGTGATGAATGTGATGTAAACAAATGTGTGATGATAGAAATCTCGGCAGGCTCATCTTTGCCGAGTTACACGGCTCTTACACTGACACACCAAACATCTTTGCCGAATTACGGCTCTTACATTTTCACACCAAATATCCACATTCGTGTGGTATCATGCTTTCGTCTAATGCGCGAACGTGTTCCCGTTCACACCTATCTTCCGCCTGTTCGTGCGTTATCGTGCGTGTTTTATATCATTATAATGGATGCTAAGACTAAACTGAAGATTTTACTGTTGCTGAAAGAAAGAAATAAGAGGAAGAATAGGAGGCAGTGGACCCACCCATTTTTGGTCGATAGACAATTATATGGCGAATATCACCATCTAATACCTCAAATTTTATACCATGAGGACAAATGTATTGGATACATTCGAATGAGACCAGACATTTGACAGCCTCTTTAGTTTTAGTCCACATTGAAAAAAAGAGCACCAATTACAGAGGAGCGAAAGACATTTAAAAGATACATAAATAAACAGAATATTGATATTGTCTTGAAGCATTTCTTGCTCTCCGGTTGCACCATTTGTGGGCTCTCTTGTACTGCCGTCTTAGGAAAAAGGGACGAATTTCGGAAATTGGGTCATAAAGAGATATCGATACCATATGAAAGAGCATGAAAAGCTGCATCTTTTGAACCAGAGGCCATTACATTTAGAGATGTTCGAATACTTTATTTTAGTATTGGAAGTATTATCATAATTTGTTCTTTTTAATTTCTTTTATATTTTATGAAAGAAAGATGAATCTCCGGTCCTACTGTGAAAAAAGGACGAATACAGAGGTTCGTCCTCAGCTGTATATTAGCAAGTGAAGAGGAAAAACCATTTATGAAAAAGCGATGAATATACCGATATTCGTCCTTCTTCGCCAAAACATGCCTACGTTACAATGCCACAGGTCTTATGATGAAATACCAAAAGGCTCAAATCCTGGCATAACCGACGTTGATCCCTGCAGTGTTAAAGTGTGTTGCATGCTGTAAGACGACAAGCTCGACTGCTTGTGTACACTCACCGGAATTTGATCCCCAGATTTTTGGCTCCTCCGGCAAAGCGCAATTAAATAACGGTCTGGAAGCCGCAAAACAATTACAAGAAAACAGACGAACCTGAAATATCACAGAAACGAAAAATCCAGGACGTTATTATTTGACAAAGTCGGGTGAAAGAAAGATGAATATCGCCATTTGTCCTTTTCCATAAAAAGCTAATTAAAACTTCATCAATCTGTTATGAAAGAATGACTTTTGTCTTCTCACACAAAGTTTTGTTGATATTTCCAAACAAAATTTTAACTACAAGTGCATAATTGCACCATCCTTCCTCCTGCCAAAAATCAAGTTTAAAATAAAATTTAAAAACAACCTTTTAAACTTGAGACGAATAAATTTTATTTTTTGGCCCTCCTGGAAAATGGGTATGTCGCAATATTCGTCCTTTTTCCCCAAGACGGCAGTGTAGTAGCGCGTACCCTTTTCAAGTGTTTGAATAGAACACTGTGCATTTCTGCTTGCAGCTCCATCTTCTGTAAGACATCAATTGTCTTTATCTTGGGGATTTAGCATGCTCTTCTCCTCCTCTTCCTTCTGTAGGGGAGTGGTCGGTCACAACACGAGAACAAACGGTTGAAATTTTATTGCTACCATAAAACTCACCGCACACTCGAACGACGATCACTGCCGTATGAACACGAACAGTAGGTGGGAACGCAGAAAGGGCCCAGAAAAGAAATGAATTCTTTCGTGCATCTCACACACAATACCACAGGAACGCGGATGTTTGGTGTTTACGACCCATTAGGTGGACAAAGGGGAGTGGTAGTTTTTGGCTGAAAGTCTTAATTTTAAAAAAATAATTTTAAAGCAAAAGAAACAGACAGAACATGTCATAAGCTCTTGATCCTGAATGTGTAACACGGTACAGCAGTATCAATTCGCTCTGCCGTACGTCTCAGTTCGTACAATGTAGTGTCAAATTTTCCAACAATGATCCCTTGTTTGTTTGTTTTTTACATTCTCTCCTTGGCCTGGGACGTCTCCCACTGCGCAGAAGCTGGAAATTTGAAACGACTTGTCAAGCTAATGTTTGCCGTAAGACTGTTGCGGTTACAGTTCGCTACGGTTAAGACCAAATCCTGTCATTGGTGCAGTTATGCTTTTCCAAGGGGCAAAGTGACACGGAGTGGCCACAGAGTACGTGTTGTATTGACGCTGAGTGTTGGGGACGGATTGTTTTTTCTTCCTTATAATACAAGAGGGGAGGATTGGGTTAGGGTAGCCGAACGACACGTACATTTTGAAAAATCGGAATCAAAGGTGCTAGGATAGTATTTTCATAAAACTGAGAAAAAAATCATGACAATTCCGCCAAATTCAGCAGAATCTTCATACTCACAAATTCTCTAGATCTAATCAGATTTGAAAAAGTTTCTTTCTGATATATATTGATTTTTCTTTCTACAATCGCCATTCAGATTTTTTGATCAACATGCAGATTTTCCAGCCACAGAAAAATCCCGAAAATAGATAGAAAGAATGAGTGAATGAAAGAAAGGAGGAAGATAATTAAAACTGTCGCAATTATCCAAATTTTAGCCGATTTGCAAGTAAAAAAAATACTTTGCCTACCGACGCGCCATAAATTCAAGAGGGACAATGGTCGAGTGTACAAAATGACAAAATGCGTAGTCTGGAAGGTTTCTAATATAACTTATTACAGCGAATTACCGTCCCATGAACATGCTGAGAAGTTAGTGAGGCAAGTTCAGATTCCTTGCTACGGAATACCGATAAGCCTATACTCTCTCTCTCTCTCTCTCTCTCTCTCTCTCTCTCTCTCTCTCTCTCTCTCTCTCTCTGA